GCTTCCTCGGTTTGGCCAGGGGGTTCAGCCCCCAGCCCCCCGGACTGACCCTGTTTCCTCATTTAGGTGGTGCTGGGGACCCACAGATTGGGCATCAGTTGCTGTGATCGGGGTGCATGGGTGCCCAAGGCGGGGCTGGGCAGCCGCTGAGGACACACCCAGACCACACAGTTGGAGGAGGGTCCCTGATCACGCGGGGCCACTCCAAACCCTGGCTGTCCTGGGGGTTCGAGCCTTGCTCCGGGGTCGGCCCCTTCCCGCCCACGACCTGGAACACCCTCATTTCCCTGACCTTGAGCGCCTCTGCTGGCCCTTACCTCCCTCCGGCCCCACCCAGCTGGATGTCCTGGCCAAGAGGGACAGGTGGAGGGCAGCTTGGAAGATTCCCCCAGAGCGACCGGCCTCCTCCCCACCCCCACGGTTGGGGCAGGGTCTGCTGCAGCCACAGGACTGGGGGGCCTTTCTCGGTGGTGCCCCCCCTCCCGCCCCGAGGCTGGAGCTGGCAGCCGAAACCCTCCTCCCTTCCCCCCCCCCCCCCCGCGCCATCCCTTCCCCACATTCGCCCCATATTCAGCAATGGCCGAATGTACTCTACAGAGCGTGAGAGAGGCGCCCCCGCGGCCCACCGCACCCAGACCCCCACCCGGAGATGTGCTCCGAGCCCCTGGTGGGAGACCAGCAGACATCAGGGCTGGCTGCATCCGGCCCCCTTTTGAGTACATATGGGGAAACTGAGACCCAGGGGAGGGAGACTTGCCCCAGGTGAACAGTGGGGCAGAGCAGGGCCAGAATGGGGCAGGACTGGTCGGCTCCTTCCATCTGCCTTTCTTTTCTCCACGACTGCCTCCCTGCTCCCTCAGGGGGTCAGCCCCCCACCCTCAGACCTTCCCTGCCAGTGCGGGGGGGGTGGGGGGGGGCGGGAGGGGGGTGCTGACTTTGGGAGTAGCTAATTAGCCAATTATGGGAATGGTTAGTGGCTCAGCTTTCCCTTTAAAGCTTGGGCTTGTTAGGGAACTTTCTGGAAGGATGCCGCAGAGCACAGAGGGACAAACGCGGGGAGAGGGAAGAAAGCCGGGCTCCCTGGCCCCTGGGTGCCAGCCAGGGTGGGGCCCAGGCTCTGCCTGCTGCCCACCTGTCCTGTAGCCCCCACTGCCCTGCCTCCAGCCCCTCCCTGAGCTGAGATCGGAACCGGTCTAAGGAAAGGAGGCCTTGGGTCCAGGCGCTCAGGGCCCAGCCTCTCCCTGACTTGTCATGTGCCCTCCACTCTCAGGTTCCCGGAGCCTCAGGGGCAGACGCAGGAGGAGGGCTGGGGTCCTGCCCTAACCCGGCCCGTTAGGGACGGGAAGGAAGGAGACGGGTGTGGGGGAACTCCAGGAGGCCCCGGGGGGCCTGGAGAGGGGCGAGGCGTGCCTTCTGCCCCACGGCCTCCCCGGGGTGATGGATGGGTGGAAGGAGGCCTCCTGGAGGGGTGGGCTGGGGCTCCCTCCACCCCCACCCCCCGCCCAGCCTCTCCTCCCACCCCCGATGCCACCCGTGTAGACTCACGAAACACACAGCCTGCCCTCACGGAGTCATCTTTGAGAGGAGTCAGTGTTCCTGTGCCCCAGGCCCATATCCCCTGAGGGCTGGGTGGGTCCCGGGCATAGCTGGGCAGCTCAGAGACCTGGGCCCGGAGCCTGGCCGGCTTCCGGCATGGCATCCAAGGCTGGAGAAAGCTTGCTTTCCACTGCTGGAGACTCTGGGCCTCAGTTTCCCCCACCCACCCCAGGCACGGTAGAGCTGGATCCTTGCAGCTGCCTCCCAGTCTGCCTGAAAGTTCTGAAGTCAGTTGGACTTCAGTTGGTTAGGAAGGGGTCTTGCTGCCTTACCTTCCCTGAGCGTGCCGGTCAGGCGGTGGGGCGTGGCACAGCTCAGCCAGGAGCTCCTGGGACCCCTCACCACCGAGCTTTCGGTCTCTGCAGCCCCCGGAGAGGGTAGACCGAGCCCCCAGCAGAGGCCGGCTCAGGCGGCTTGAGGCCGAGGGGCACCGGGCGAGGCGTGTGACCAGGGCTGCAGGAAGGAGGGACGAGAGCGTAGAGCAGAGGAGATGGGCCTTCCTGTTTACCCCCCGGAGCAGCCGCTGGCCTCGGGATAGGGTGACTCTGTCACCACGGCGGGGTCCAGCTTCTCGCCAGATGTGCCGAGCCTTCACCAAGGGATGCGCCGGGCCCGGTGACCTGTCTGTCCCCGGTGGGGGCTGGGCACCCCCGGGCCGGGTGAGCCGTCGATGCCTGAGCTGGGCAAGGTCTCGAAGGGAACCCGACGTTTTCTAGGGAGCCTGGGGTCTTCAGTGCTCCGTCCTCCACCCCACTGCCCACGGGCCCCCGCGCGGCCTGCCTGCTGGAACCCCCCCCCCGCCGTGCCAGGCACCGGGCACGGCACTCACGAAATAGCCTTCAGATGATGCATCGGAGGCAGCCAGGGGCAGCCAGTGGGAAAGGAAAGCCCTGGTCGTGGGGTCCAGGGGGGCCTGAGCAGCGGGACACCCTTGGGGGACGCTTGGTCCCTTCTCCCTGCCCCCCGGGGCCCCACCTCCTGGGGACTGCCCATGCCGTCACGATACCCTTCCTGCGGCCCGTCCACCGCTGCTCAGGCCGGAGGCCCAGGATGCCGCCTTTGCCCCGTCCTTCGTTCCCATAGACCCCCACGGGCTGTGCCTTCAGAACACGTCCCTCCTGCCACTGCCCCATTCTGGTCCAGGCCACCATGCTTCTTACCTGGCTGACCTCCTCCTCGGCCCACGGGGTAGCCCTGTCCCCCACCCCGGTTTTTAGGGAGATTTGTGAAGGTGACATCAGATCGTGTGACGTCCCGTAAAGCCCAACAGAAGGCTTCCCAGCGCACTCGGACCAAGTCTGATCCCTCACTCGTGTCCCGATGCCCCTCCCTGAGCACCAGCTCCACGCTGCCGAGCGGGACCTCATTTGTGCCGCTCACACGGGGACGGAGCTGGCCCCCTAGCAGGTGCGCAAAGGGCAGGGAGAGGCCACGCGGGCCACCCATCACAAGCCCGCCCAGACGCCCCCCCCACCAGGCGGCTGCACACGTGCGTCCTCACAGTGAAGAAGCACACCACGGGGAGCACGGACAGCCAGCACCCCTCCAAGAGAGGCCCCGAGTCCGCCCCAGGCGCCCACGGCGTGGTTCCGCCTGCTTTCATGGAGTTTCAAGTCCACGGCGCCGCACGGTGCCCGAGTGGTGTTGGCCTCTCCCGCTCCGTGGCACGTCTGTGGGCGGCCGGTGCGGCGGCGTGCCCACCCTCTGGGCAGCTTCGTGTTCCGCAGGGAGAACAGAGCAGGCCACGCACACCGCCGGCCCTGGCTCTTACCCGTGGCGCTGCTTTGGTGGTCTCTGTGCCCGCCTTCCGGCGTGGCTCCCGGGCACCTGTCCCTGGGACTGTCTTGGGGGACCCGCTGGTCCGGGGAGACCTGTAACACCAGGGACTGCCCGGCAGAAGTCCTGGTCACTCCCCCAGCGCCAGGGTACCCGGTGCCTCATGCCCTCTTGGCACGTTCTGATGGTTTTGCTGTGGTATCGCTGGATTATTATTTCTTTAACGGAGGGAGAAAGACTCGTCCTGTAGTGGAGACACCGAGGCAGGGTGAAAGCCAGGCACAGGACTCTTGGGGAGCAGCACAGCCCCCAGGGCGCCGAGCTCCGGGCTTCGGCGGGCCCAGCAGTCTGCAGGCTGCGGGCACGGTGGACGTCCCAGGGCACTGAGTGGGTCTGGGCGGTGGAGAGAGAAGGGGCCGCCCGCTGGGGAGCGGGAGTGGGCTTAGGGGTCCCCCTGTGCAACCTCTGCTGTGGCTGTGCTCTGTGTTCCCGCTGTCAGGAGCCTCCAGGAAACACTCACCTCCGTAGTGCAAGGCCTGTTGGCCAGGTGGGGGGGGCCAGGTGCTGACCATGGCCACGAGGTGGGCACTGGATCCTGCCTGGAGGCTCACAGGGCGGGCATTTGTGGTCAGGGCCCAACTGCCAGAGCCTCTTGCTGAGCAGGGAGAGCCCCTGGCAGAATCCAAGACCCCTCCCGCCTCCCCCCAGTACCGCGGCCAGGCCCTCAAGGGTCACCTTCGGGGTGCTTGGCCCCCTGGCCAGGGTTTGTCCCAGAGCGGGCTCCTCTGGGCCCTGGGGGCAGCCCCCACCCCCTTGGGGCTCCCTCCTCCGTGGGGGCTGAGGAAGGGGGCTTGCCCCGGACCCTCACCCCCGGCCTGGCTCCCCGGACGGAAGCCCTACTCGCAGTCGGCCTGCAATTTGCCAAGCCCAGCGGATGGGGCGGCCGTTAACGCCGAGAGGAAAAAACACTTTATCTCCCGGGACGGAAAGGGAAGCTCCTGAGAAGGGGGGCAGGTTGATGGAGGTGGGCGACTGTTCAGCCCTGCCTGAGGGGGCCATCCTGTCCCCGCCCTGCCCACCAGGGAGAGAGGGAGCCAGGCCCTCTGAAGCCGACGAGAAGGACAACTGAGGCCCTTTGGCACCACGCCGCGTGCACATGGGTCCTCATGGGCTGTCACGCCTGCCCTGCCAGCTCCGGGCCGGGATCCGACCCCCTTTACGGAGGAATGACCTCTCGGGGCCACAGAGACTGGCGCGGGAGAAGCCTGACCTCTGACCCAGAGCTGAAGCTCTCCCAGGGCGTGGGCAGGCAGGGGTGCGGGGGCCGTGAGGGACGGATGAGCCGGTCCCTGTCCCCCAGGCAGGCTCCTGGTACGTCGTCTGTGACTGCCCATTGTCCCAGCGGCCAGGGGAAGCTGGGGCTGCTAGGAGGGGCGTCAGAATCCCCTCCCCAGGGACACCGTGACACCTTCGGGGTTGTCACGGGCGCCAGTGAAGGCAAGGGCATTAGAAGCTGGAAGGCTTCCCTGCCTCAGTTTCCCCATGTGTCAGATCAGAGTGTGGAGCGTCTGGGGGCCCTGGGCTTTGGGGGGGGGAGGTTCCGGAGGCCTCCGAACTCCACCAAGTTGGGCGGTTTGTGCTGGGCCTTCCCAGGGTGGGGGGAGGAGGGGTCGGCAGCTTCCACCAGGTCCCCAGGGGGCCCGTGACCCCAAGTGCGGAGTCCGTGTGGGTGGCCTCGAAGCGTCTCCAGCATCCCCCGTCCACGACCTCAGCTCCAAAGTTGCCTGTGAGTATCATTATTTTTCAATATCCTTAAAAACGTCAAGAGAGAAAGGAAAGAGGCCAGAAATCTCTGCTTCCTCTCAGCCAGGAAACAGGAAGTGAGTGTGCGGGGAGATTGCGAGCCAGCCTGCAGGAACAATGGGGCCCCCCCAGGGAAAGGGGAACTGCGTCAAGCAAGCAGCCAGGGTGGGGGGCCCGCCTGACCTCTCCCGGCCGTGCGGGGGCCCCGCGTAAATTTAGTCTGGGTCTTTCCTGATGAAAAGCTCCAGTGCCCTGCTGCTGGGGGGAGGGGGCGCGAGGCCCACCGTGGCCCCCGGGCGTCGGGGCCCCTGGCCTCTTAGGGTCCATCCAGCTGTGCCCTCCTCTCCCCTATGGGTAAACCGAGGTCCAGAGGGGAAGAGCCTGGCCTGGGGGCCGTGCGGTGTGGGGAAGGCACACCAGCGCCTGTGTGGTCAGGGCTGCCGGTCGTCCCCGGAGGGGCCCCAGGCCCAGGACGCGAGGAGAAAGGCCTCCCCTCACGCCCCCTGCCTCAACGTACCACCTCACGCCCTGCCGTTAAGGGAAAGCACGCCTGGCGGAGGCGGAGGGAGGGCAGCAGCGAACGGGCGCCGTGCCAGGCCTGGCTCTGGGCCCCTGGTGGCGCGATCTCAGGCCGGGTCCAGGGGGGCCGTGACTCCTCAGCCCCACGGGTCAGCGTGGCGTCTCTGGCGCGGGCCCACGGAGCCGTAAGTCACACGGCGCACGGCGCCCTCTCTCCAGCGGTGCAAGTCCGCGGAGCGTCGTCTGGTGACGACGCCCGGCGGCCGCCATCACGGCCGATCTCAGAGCCCTTCCCTTGCTTCGAAAGCAGCCTGGAGCTTTGAGCGGTCGCCCCCGGAGCCCTCCCGTCCCGTCCCCGCTGTGCCTTCCGTGTCCAGACGTGTCCGTTCTGGAGTTTCACGTGAGTGGGATCCCATGCCGTGTGGCCCTTGTGTCAGGCTTCTCAGCACGTGCCAGGCTCGTGGGTTCCGTGGCGCGTGTCCGTGCCGCCCGGGGTGGTCTGCCTCGTCCTGTCTGTTCCTCAACCGGCGGACGTCGGGTCGTTTCTACCCTCTGGCTGTCGTGAACCCTGCGAACGCCCGCCCAGATTTTTCCGCGGATGCGGACGCTCACTTCTCTCAGGTACAGACCTGGGCGTGGGGTCATGGGATCGGGTAGCGGCTCTGTGCCCCCTTCTGCCCCCTTCTGCCTCTGTGATCACACTCCCCTGCCCAGCCCCAGGAAGGCCGGAGGAGCCACTGAGGTCCTACGGGGACCCTGGGACGGCATAGGAAGGGCACCCGTGGCGTGGAGCTCGTGGCCTCCTCTGGGCCGGCTCGAAGCTCAGCCCCAGGAGCCTCTCGGGACGTCACACGGCCTGTGGGCTGTCGCCTTTCTGCAGACTTGGAGCCGGGAGTCAAAGGGATCCCCCAGGATGCTGTCCCAGACCCGGCCCTGGAGCCCCTTGGAGATGCAGGTGTTCCGGATTCTTGGGGTCCAGGCCAGTCCTGGGCAAGCCCCCATCCTTTCCAGTGTCCTCGGGCCATAATGGTAATGATCAGACGCCCCAAGCTAAATCTTAGGGTTCCCCTTTGACCTCCGCTGTGCCAGGAGTGGACTGGGGTCCAGAGAGACAAGTGCCCCTCGAGGCCATCTGGCACACGGCAGAGCTGGGCTTAGAGTCCAGGCCCCCCTGAGGCCTCCACGTGGCCGGCACCCGCTCGCTGCCTCCCAAGCGCGTTCTAGGATCAGAGTGCTCTCTGGTGAGCAGGCGCCCCGTGCCTGGGTTCCCGGTGTCCTTGACCCCCTGCATGTTCTCCTCCAGCACCCACCACTGTTCCGGGGTCACTCGCCCCCGGGCGTGACCTTGGGGAGGTGGCCCGGTGTCCTTCCCTGGGAAGGGAGGGGATTGGAGTCAGGCCTCCCTCCAGCCCGGCGACCGTGGTGGCAGCTTGTGAACAGGTACCAGGTGTGGGGGCCGCCCCGAGTCTGAGAGGTCGGTGGCACTGCCTCAGACCGCCACCCTGGCCCCGAGGACGCCAGCCAGACCCTCAGCCAGGATGCCCTGCAGCCCATGGTGGCCCCCCACCCCCCACCCCCGGGCCCGCCTGGGGATCGCAGCTTCCTGAGCCAACCCCGTTCTGCACAATAGCCGGAAACGCCTTGCTCGGGCTGTGGTCCAGGCGGCCATGTGTGGCCCTGGGAGGGCTGGGAAGGCTGCTCTGCGTGAGCGCCAAGCCCCCCCCGGTGGCCCTGAGAGCCCCGCCGGCCTGTTGTCTCTGGGCGGACCATGGCCACCTCCCCACGAAGGCTGGGCTGGCGGGGTGTTCGGGACGCGGGCCACAGCTGGCCATCATGCCCAAGGCACGCCCCGCTCTGTGGTCAGGAAGGGACGCCCCACCCCCACCGCGGCCCAGCCAGGAGGCTCCGCCAGGTTCGTAGGGCGAAGCGTAGAGGGCTCAGGGCTGTGTCTGTGCCGATGTCCACGGGATCTTAGTGGGTCAGACACAGGGGGTACAGGAGCGCCCCGAACCTCGCCCCCCTCAGCTCCCCACCCCCCACACTTTAAAGGAGCAGTATCCAGAAGGGAGGGAAGCACCTTCCTCACCGGGCTGATGCCCGGAGTCGCGGTCCAGCCGGGCCCAGCGCCCCTGCGGGAAGACACAGGTCAGGGACGAGGCTTCTGCCCCTGGAGGCAGAGAGGACGTGATCCCTCCAGGGGCGGAGAAGCCAGCTGGCCTGTGGCTGGGAGGGGACAGGAAGGTCTCTCTGGGCCGGGCGTCACCGACTGGGATTGTGTTTTGCCGCTCCAAAATGGAAATAGATGTTTTCTGTGTATCGTCAGGGCTGTGAAGTGATACGTGCTGGTTTTGAAAGAGCCGGTGGATGGGAAGCACGAAAGCTGACGAGAAAGCGGTGCGTCTCGCGTCCCACCGCCTGGCGTTTGCAGGGCTCCTGCGTGCCCGCGACGCCCCGCCGTCCACAGGGGCGAGGGTGCACGGGCCTGCACAGAGCGGCTCCCGCCAGGCCAGCGCGTCCTCGAGGTCAAGCGTGCTCGGGGCTGAGTTATGTTCAACACTTACAACAAGACACGTACACTTTGCACAAGACTATTTTTTACCGCGCTTTTGGGTTCACGGCAATATTGAGAGGAAAGCACCGCGTTTGCCCGTGGACCCCTGCCCTCACGGCGGGCTCCCCGCCACGGACACCCCACCGGGTGCTGCACTTGTCGCGGACCCACACGGACGCGTCGTCGTCACGCAGAGCCCGGAGCGTGCACGGGGCCGTCCGTCCCGTGGGTTTGGACAGACGTGGGATAGCACGCACCTGCCGTTCCGTCTCCCACGCGGTGTGCTCGCCGCCCTACCGTCCCGAGCACACAGTTTCGTGTCCGTGCCGTGTGCGGGCCCAGGACGGGTGGCCGCCCACCGCCAAGTGGGATTCCGCGGTAAGGTGACCGCGGTTTGTAACAGAAGTGGCTCACTTACGGTGTCTCCAAGAGTAAACATGGAAATACCACGCGGCACAGCCTGTCCGCTCCTGGGTCCGCGCAGGAAGGCGCTGATGGCGGCACTGGAAGATGGATGGTCGGACACCCGCTGCCTGTGGCTACGGTTCACGACAGCCACCTGTGCGCCCACCGATGTGCGGGTCGGCGAGGTGGCATTGCCACACCATGGGATATTGTTCAGGCACAAAAAGCCCTCAAGCGCCCACACGCACCGCCACGTGGATGGGCCTCAACGATGTGCACGTAGGAAGGGCGTTGGTGCGTTGGTGCGGGCGGGGGGCCGGGGGCCGGGCGGCCCGCTTGCTGGGTGCGGAGCCTCAGGCTGGCAAGACAAAGCATTTTGGGGGCCACGTGCCAGTAGGGGCCGCACAGTGGTGTGAGTGCAACAATGCCGCCAACCTGTGTGTTGTGTACGCGCTCCCACGACTTGAGAGAAGTCATAATGAATTGTGCCAGGGGCGCCCGGGGGGCTCAGCCGGTTACGCGTCCGACTTCGGCTCAGGTCATGATCTCGCGGTCTGTGGGTTCGAGCCCCGCGTCGGGCTCTGGGCTGACAGCTGGGAGCCTGGAGCCTGCTTCCGATTCTGTGTCTCCCTCTCTCTCTCTCTCTCTCTCTCTCTCTCTCTGCTCCTCCCCCGCTCGCACTTTGTCACTCTCTTTCTCTCAAAAATAAATAAACATTAAAAAAAATTTTTAATGGAATACACCAGACCCCAGACTCATACGCTCTCGCGGTGAGCTGCTAGGCACATGGACTACGTCTCGATGAAGCCGGGAAACCAGAAGAATCACCTGCGGGCAGGTGGGGCCCTGCTGGAGCCTCAGAGCGGCTGCCCGCCGGGCCGTGCCGATGGCCTGAGAGGTATCCGGGGACTGGCTCTCACCCCACGAGACACGGGGGGCATATTTGGGGGGACCCCAGCCCAGGAAGGTGCATCTCCTGGGCCCAGGCCCTCTGTCCCACGCTCTCGGGGGGCCTGGTGTGGCCCCCGCCCTCCCGGCTCTGTCTGCAGCGCCCTCCGCGGCCCAGTGCCCACCCTCGTGCCCTTTCCCCAGCCAGGGGCAGCTCCCGGAGCTGGGAGAGATGACTTCTGGGGCCCGAGGTCCTCCACAGCCCGTTTACCAGACCTGCTGTGCGGCCAAGGGTTGTGGTCACTGTGGGCAGTGGGGCACGGCTAACCGTCCCCTCTGCCCGTTGTCAGACTCATGATGGCAAGGTCATTTTAGGTCAGATGGCAGGTAGAGTGGCTTGGGAGCTGGGTCCCCGGGGGTCAGCACAAAGTCTGAGCCAGGCCCGAGCTTCCCTGGGACCTCAAGCGGGGACACGGGCAGCCTCTGCTCCTGGGGGCCTCCTGGATAGGCCTGAACCACAGGAGCACTGTGCACAGAGGCACTGGGAGGGGTGGGGACCCGCTCCCCTGCTCCTTGAGAGCTGAGAGAGAGCACTGGCCCCGGGGAGGGGTGGGGGGAGCCGGGGAGGAAGGAAGCCTCGGTGGCCGTGGCCAGCTTGGTCCTGGCTGGGCCAGGAGCCCTTGCCACCCGGGGCCCCAAACTCCCCCAGGCCTCTGAGCACAGGGGCAGAGAGGAGGCGGAGGGGGAGGCGGAGGGGGAGGGGGAGGGGGAGGAGGGCCACCACCGGGCCCTTGTCCTCCTGCCCCAGCAGGAAAGGCTGACCGGGGCCGGGGACAAAAGGCGGACGTGCGGCTGGCCATGTGGGCCCTTATCAGGCCCGCACCCGCCGGGCCGCAGGGTCTCTGCGGAAACGCTCCTCTCTGCCCGCCTTCCTGCCTGCGCCCGGCCACCCCGCCAGGCGCTGTGCAGGGGCGAGGGGAGGCTGGCAGGGGTGAGGCGGTGGGGGCAGCCGGCGCAGGCCCCCTGGCCTCCGGGGCTCCGGACGGAGATTGGAGGAAGTGTGAGCGTTCTTCTCTCTGCCTGCCGCGTGCTGTGACGTGACAGCTAATGTTCTCCCCGTCTGGCAGGCACCCCGGGCCATCGAAAGGCCCTGCAGTCCCGAGACTGTGGCCGGCCAGGTCCTTGCTCGTGCTCGGGCCCCGCTGGGACTGTGCGGCCCGGGGAGGGGGGGGCGGGGGATGAGCACAGGCAGGTGGGGCTTCCCCGGGGGTCAGCACACAATGCAGCCCACCACACTCCCCTGGGATCTGCACGCTGTGTTTTCTCGACAAAAAGCGTGTCTTGATGAACAGATTCGAGGAGGTCCCTGCTGCAGGCAGCGGGGGACGGGGCTCGGCGGGCGTTCCCACCAGGACCCACGGTCGGCGTGGGGGTGGGGGTACAGGGGGCCTTGTCCTGCGGACCCTTCTCACCACCCCTGGGGGCGGGCGCTGTGGGCTCTGAGGTGCCACAGCTCTGAGGCTCTGAGTGTCCCGGCCACGCCAGCCTCCTGCCCCTGCCGTCCAGCCCCGGCCCAGGCCCCCGCTGCCCCCTGGTGGACGCGGGGCAGGTTGAGGCCGAGCTGGTGGCAGTCATCGCTCACAGCACCCCGCCCACCCCAGCGCGGGCCTGCAGGACATCCGGCTGGGGAGAATGGGGGACCCAGACCAGCCAGGTCACTGGTCCTTCATGATCGGCCTCTGGAACCTTCCGCCCACCGAGCGTGGCACGAAATCTGCGGGAGTGCTGCCGCACTCTGAGGAGGGGGGGCCGGGCCCAGCCTTCAGAGCCATCCGCAGAACTACAGCTGCGCAGGCCTCCCAGCGAGACCCCAGCATTCGTCCCGTTGCCCACAAAACCCACAGGACTCTCTCCCGCCCCACCACTGCCCGGGAGGACACAGGAGCAGGCGGGGGGGGGGGGGGCGGGGCGCTTCGGGGAGGACACTGCTGGTCCTCTGGGGCTCGTCAGGACCAGGCGAACAACTGTCACCATCTCCCCAGGATGTTAAACCCAGAGTTGGGTGTGACTGCACCCCCCCGCCCTCCCCGGCACCGGACCCTGGGTTGGAGGGTTGCTCTGCCCCTCCCCCCACACACCCAGTGGCCCCAGGTCCCGGGCTCCAGGCCCCAGGCGGCGGCTAAGTCAGTCTGGAGACTCAGGCTTCCCTTCTGTGAAATGGGCAAGAGTCTCTCCTGGGTGCCTCTGTGGCCGGGCTGAGGCCTTGTCTTCAGACAAGGCATGTAAACCTGTAACCGTGTAAGCCGAGCTCGGTTAATTACTCCCATTTCCAGAATGAACAGACCAACGTACAGAGAAGTTTCTCAGTTCTGGTGCCTGGGGAACCTGACCCTAGGGTCAGGGGCCTGGCAGCGGGGACTTTTCGAGCTCCTGGAGGGTGCCAGGGTGAGGCCAGGGTAGAGAGGCCCCGTCCCGGTGGGACCTGGGCCGCCCTGACAAGGTATGGTCCACCGCCACGGGGAGCAGAGTCCGGTGGCCACTGCCCGGGCCTCCGTGGTCACGCAGGCTGCCCCGATGACACGGGCCACGTGAAGGCACCCAGAGCCCGCGGCAGGGTCCCCTATTTCCGCGTAGGGCAGGAAGGGCTCCAGGAGGGCCCCCAGATGCTTACATGTCTCTGATCCCAGGCTTCTCCTGGGTGGAGAGGGGCTGATCAGTCACTCGAGTCACGGGAACAGGGAGAGACTGGTCTTGGGGCTCAGGTCCTGGCTCTGCTATGGGATGTGACCTCTGTGCCCTCACCCAGGATCAGGCCACGCCCCTGCCATGGGCAACATTAGGCCAGTGTCTGGCTGTGAGAGTCCCTCCTGGTGGTCCCGACTGGGGCCCGTGACCCACGGAGCAGAGACGGAGGGCCCCGGCCCAGGATCTGGCTGCTGCAGTGGCCAGCTAGGTCCCCGAGGATTGCCGGGCCCAGGGGGCCTGATTCCCCATCCCATGAGGCCAGGGCATCAGCTCGAGTGGTGCTGGCCTCAGCCACGTGCTGAGCTGGCGGATGGGGTGTGCACGGGGGCCAGGACGGGCCCAGCACTTGTGTCCAGAGCACGTCCGCACTTGGGACCCGTCTGGCTGGACGCCTTGCTGCTGACCCGAGAGGTCAGAGGAAGTCCCTGGTGTTTTCCAGCCTCCCTTGCAGACACCATCCATCTGGGCTGCTCCGGGGAGCACCCAGGGTGTCCCCGGGAGCCCTGTGTCCTGCCCCCTGCCGTCTGCTCACCTCTGTGACCACACCCCTGGAGAAGCATCAGGGGCTTACGTGACATCTGGCTCCCATCTCCATGCTGGGGGGCTCACTGGGAGCAAGGGTCTCAGCCCACACCCCAGACACAGGGCCTGGCACTCAGGGACACCGAGGCCTTCCTGCCCTGTGTTGACACGCAGGGTGGCCCATCCATTCCTGTCCCTCTGGGCCCGGAGGAAGGGTGGGGGGCAGGGACGGCTCTGAGCGGAGCCTGGGAGGGACCCCTTCCCGGTTTTCAGCCTGGTAGTCCCCACGGGCCCTGCTGCTCCTCCCACAGCAATCTTCGAGGAGCGGGTGAGCCGGGCCCCATGCCGTTCACCCGCTGACCACCGGGTGGCGGTGTTCCACCGCGTGGGCCAGGCTGGAACCCGCCCTGGCCTGGTGGGTACAGCCAGCACCACCCCAACCCTGGACCGGGCTTTGGGCAGGCCTGGGACCCCGAGTGTGGGAAGCGTATGGCCAGGCACATTTCCTTGCCAACCTGTGCAACTGTCCAGGGCAGCCCTGTGTGTTGCTGCTTCCCAAATGTGCTTAAAGGATGGACAGGGGTCCAGAGAGCCAAGTTCAGTTCCTTGTATTTGCGAGAACCCGCCCTTTGCACGTGGGCCACCCCCTCTCCCAGGGAGCTCGCCTGAGAGGCTTCCCGGAGCCGTGCCACACCCCCTGCCTGAGGTCCCGCCACCTGCAGGCGTCCCAGCTGGCTGGATCTCAGCATCCTTGGGAGCGCGTCAGCCCCAGGGCCCATGGGGGAGCCGGGGGTGGCTGGGGCTCCGCGGCTCTGGGCCCCCGGGGCCTCTGGCCCTCGTACCTGCCCTCCTCTGTCCACTCGCGCTGTGACAGCACTCAGGGTCTGCTGTCCATCACACGGGGCCACGCTGGGCCGTGCCCGGTCACAGGGGACACGGCAGGAGCAGGAAGGGCAGAAGGCTGGACCCGGCAGCTTCACGGCTCCCCCAGGTGCCCGGCCAACGCCGGCCAAACGCTTCCAGGGGATGCAGTTTGCTGCCGGGCGGGAGATTCCACCCCGTCAGGTCATGTCCCTTCCAGGGGGACCGGCTCTAAGTTTCCGGGACTCGCAGGCGGAAAACCCACGGGGGCGTTCCCGAGGTGACGGGGAAAAGAAGTCCCGGGATCACAGGTGAGCCTCGGGCTTCGGGGTGATGGGTGCAGAGGGGACAGGGGGACCAAGGCCCCAGGAGGAACAAAATGGCTTTGAGCGACGAGCGGCGAAGGAAGCCTTACCGCCGTCCTGGCTCCCGGTCGGCGAACCCGGATCGAAATTTGGGAGACCGGCCATCTCGAGGCTGTTGCCGCCGGCAAGCTAGGTCAAGGTCACGGGGCCCTCCCTGTCTGCTGCAGCAGTGACATCCGGAC